GCGCAGGACGTCCTCACAAGTCATACAAAAATCGCGCTCTCGCGTTGGACCTCGCCGCAACGTATTCAGACGCAGCGCCGTCGACACTCAGGAACCACGCTCCCGCGATGGATTTCCTGAGGATGTATTTGGAGATCGCGCTATCGCTCTCCTTGCTATTCATGCAGGACGCACGCTTCAACAACCCGCCTGCTCCACCTGGCTTCCTGGGCCCGCCTTCCCGACCCGCCCGTTAGGGTCTACCCGCCCGATCTGCCCGTCTGGTTCTGCCACGTGTTTTCTGCTCCCAGCCCCCCTCCTGCTAGTCTCTCTCGCGTTCCATCCTCCGTCCTCTCTTCGCCTGCTTCAAGGGCTGCACGAAATAGACTTCCCAGGTAAGATATAAAGGGGGCACGGTCGAAGACGAAAAGGGCGGGTATCGAAGGTTCGGGATACACGTGTTGAGTGGCCCGCGAGCAGGTAGGGGTGAACAGTTTCAAAAAGTGGTAGTTGTTGTGATTGTTGTTGCTGCTGCTGTTGTTGTTGTTGCTGTTGTTGTTTCGTTGGTGTTGTTGTTGCTGTTGTTGTTGCTGTTGTTGTTTCGTTTATGATGCTGTTGTTGATGCTGTTGTAGTTGGTGTCGGTGCTGCTGTGGTAGGTGTTGTTGTGTTTGTTGTGCTGTTGTTGCTGTTGGTGCTGCTGGTGCTGTTGTTGCTGTCGTTGCAGCTGGTGGTGTTGTTGTTGTGGTGTTTGTGTTGTTGATGTTGTTGGTGTTGTTGTAGTTCTTGCTGCTGCTGCTGCTGTTGTGTTTGTTGTTATTGAGTTTTCAATTCGAAAGAATACGTCTTGCTGTTGCCCCCCCCTTCCGGTAACTATTGTACTGTTTCAATTGAAGTGCCCACCGTGGGGCCCGTACCCTGTTTGTTTTTTTTTATCAGGGTGTGCTTGGTGTCACCAAACTGCACCCCTGGCCCCCGACTTACAACAACAACAACCACAACAACAACAACAACAACAAGAGCCGCTCCCGCCTGCTACTTCCTCATAGTGTATATCAAAATCGCGCTCCCGCGCAGGATTTCCTCGCCAATCCAGCATTCGCGCTCTCGCGTGGCACTTCCTTGCAATGTATTCATACGCCGCGCCCTCGACATTGTCTCGCTTTGGCCTGTCTGACGATTTACTTGGGAATCGTGCTATCGCTCGAGCTCTCCTCGCGATCCATGCAGGACTCATGCTTCAGCAACCCGTCTGCTTAACCTGGCCGCCTGGGCCCGCCTTCCCGACCCGCCCGTTAGGGTCTACCCGCCCGATCTGCCGGTCTGGTTCTGCCACGTGTTTTCTGTTCATAGCCCCCCTCTTGCTCATCCCGCTCCATCCTCTTCCCTCCCCCTTTCCATCCGTCCTAATTTCACGCGGCAGGCAAGGAAGATAGACCCCTAGAGGGTGTACGATCGAAGGCGAAGAGGGCGGGCACCGAGGGTGCGGGACAGACGTGCTGAATGGCACGCGAGCAGACAAGAGCGAACAGTCTTAAAATTGTTTGTTGTGGTTGCTGTCGCGACCCGCCGGTTAGGTTCTACCCGCCTGATGTGCCCGCCTGGTGCTGCCACGTGCTCTCTGCTCCTAGTCCCCTCTCCTGCTACTGCCTCTCTCGTGCTTCCTCCTCCTCCTCCTCCTCCTCCATCCTCCCTCCCCTATGCCCTTTCCGTCCCTAATTCCTCGCCTCCCCTACCTTAGGGGCTGTACGAAATACACGCTGCAGGTAAATAACAATGTATCCCTAAGGAGGTACGATCGAGGACGAAGAGGGCTGGTATCGAGGGGTTGGGACTGACGTGTTGACTGGCACCCGAACAGATAAAACCGAACAGTCTCACATTGATTGTCGTTGAATTCTCATTTGTAGAAAATAAGGATTATTGATCCCCCTCCTGGGCACATTGTACTTTTGAATTAAAGTGCTCCTTCCAGGGCTCGCACATTGTATTTTACAAGAGCAAGTTGGTGTCACCAAGCTGGGCCCATGGCCCCCGAGTTACAACAACAACAACAACAACAACAACAACAACAACAACAACAACAACAACAACAACAACAGCTCGCGCCTGGTACTTATTCATAATGTACTGCGGAATCGCGCTCTCGCGCGGGACCTCCTTCACAAGTTATGCAGAAATCGCGCTCTCGCTTGGAACTTGTTCGAAATTTACCTAGACGCTGCGCCCTCGACACTCAGGAATCACGCTTTCGCTTTGGCCTTCCTCACGGTTTATTTGGGAATCGCGCTATCGCTCGAGCTCTCCTCGCGATTGATGCAGGACTCAGCGCTTCAGCAAGACGCCTTCTCGACCTGCCCGCCTGGGCCCGGCTTCCCGACCCGCCTGTTAAGGTCCCCGCCCGCTGGGCCCGTCTGGTTCTGCCACGTGCTTCCTGCTCCTAGTCCCCCTTCTGCTATTCCCGATTTCCGTCCTTCTTGCTCCTCATTCCATCCGCCCTCTCTTCCCTTGTTTCAGGGGCTGCACTAATTACACGCGGCAGGTAAGGAAGATATACCTCCAGGGGTGTACGATCGATGACGACGAGGGCGGGTACCGAGGATGTGGGATATACGTCTTCAATGGCACGCGAGCAGGTAAGAGCGAACAGTCTTAAAATGGTTGTTGTTGTCGTCGTCGTCGTCGTCGTCGTCGTCGTCGTCGTCGTCGTCGTCGTCGTCGTCGTCCTTGTCGTCGTCGTTGGCGTCGTCAGTGTCGTCGTCGTCCCGCTCGCGACCCGGCACGCGACCCACCCGCGACCCACCCCGCGACCCACCCGCAACCCACCCGCGACCCACCTGCGACCCGGCCGCAACTCACCCGCCACCCAGCCTGCGACCCACCGGCCCGCGACCTACACCGCGACCCACCCGCGACCCACTCGCGACCCAGCACCACCCGCGACCCACCCGCGACCCACCCCGCGACCCACCCACGACCCACCCGCGACCCACCAGCGACTCCGCCCGCGACCAACTGGCGACCCAACCGCGACCCACCCGCGACCCATTCGTGACCCAGTCCCACCCGCGACCCACCCGCGACCCACCCCGCGACCCGCCCACGACCCACCGCGACCCACCCAGCCGCAACTCACCCCCGACCCACCCGCGACGCACCAGCGACCCAGCCCGCGACCTACCCGCGACCCACTCGCGACCCACCCCGCGCCCGCCCCCTCACTCTAATCCGCAACTCAGGGTGCTACATATGGCACGCGCGTGTACCCGCCCCCACTTGGCCAGACCAGTGGGCTCGATTAGGCATCATTTGTCAGCGACGAGCGTATGATAAGGATAATCAGTCATTCAGGCAAGTTCCGTAAGACATTATTTTCTTCTGCATCGGCAAAGGTACCCATTCGTGAACGCGTTTGGTGCGGGAGGGGTTCGGTACTGCCTGGGTATATCCATGGAGCCCCAGCGCGATCACGGCCAAACGTCGGACACTAAGGGGTTTGGTTCCTTCTGGCTGCTCCCGACTGCGAGATTTGCTTTGCGGCGCTGACAGCTACAGGCAAGGCCCGGAGGAGGAGGAGGAGGACGAGGGACAGCCGCGACCACGATTGCGATCACAGGGGGGGGGGAGGAGGGCGTCTCCAGTTGCCTTCCAGGGGCTCGCGGGCGCTGCGCCGAGCTCCCAGGCGCTGCCGCGGGGCCGCACCAACAGAGGGGCCGTGCGGTCCGATCTGCACGGGGCCCGAGATTCGAGCGGCTGGAGCGGCCGGCACCCGCAAAATTTGTCGAGACGCCTCCGAAGGACTGCCGAATACGTGGCACGGTCCGACCAGGGCCGCCGCCCCAGCCACGGCCAAGGGCACCAGTTGCTTCCCAGTGGCTTCCGCGGGCTTCCCAGAGGCCTTCAGGGGCCTCTGAGGGCTGCCAGCGCGTGCCAGGGTCCTCCCACGGCTGCCTCGTGATGTCAAGGCGCATCCCAGCCAGGCGCATCTGAGTTTCCTTGGGGGGGGGCAGGGCCCAATTGCTCTCTGGTTTTCGCTAGGCCTCCTAGATGGGGTCGGAGTAGATGGGGTCGGAGGATCGCGCTGCATCGCCGATGTATCGCCGATGCGGCTCGATGTGGAGCCACGCCGACGTCGCCGGTGCATCGCATCGCTGACGTTGGCGGCGCATCGCCGGTGCATCGCCGATGCATCGGCGATGTACCGGCGATGCGGTGCGATTTTCCGACCCCATCGACTCCGCCCACATCTAGGAGGCCTCTACTTTAGCTTCCGAGGAGCATTCACGCATTCCCAAGAAGGTTCCAGGACGCATGCGGGGGCCGCCAGCGTGCGCTCGGGGCTCGCAGAGGCAGGCCGTGGGAAGCCCCTGGGAGGTCGCAACCAAAGGCGCTCCAGGGATAGTTGCGGTCCCCAAGAGTATACACCACCACCACGTCGATTCCTCCTCCCCCTCCACCCTCCTCGTCCTCTACTCTCTCCTGCGAGAGGGAGGGGGTGAGGGGGGGGGTGGTGTTGTATACTTGTGGCCCCGCTATATCGGAAGGCTTCTCAGAGGCTTCCGAGCGGATTCCCTTGGCTTCGTTTCCCGAAGCAGTCGCCGCGGGTCGCGGCGTGAAGGCGCGGGACAGCAGAGCGCTTTGGCACCCAGCAGAGAGGCTGCCAGAGCTCTCTCTGGCCGTCGGAGAACCCCCTCCCCCCCTCGCCGCGGGCGTGCGCTGCTCGAAGGACCGCATTGGGCGGTGCCCTTGCAGGGGCCTCGGCGCACGCGGACGAGCGGGCTCGATGCTCGCGACAAGCGGTGCTCGCAGCGATGCCCGATGCTCGCTCGATGCCCGACGTGCTCGCGACCGAGCGACGCTCGATGCCCGATGGGCCCGCGACCGAGCGGTGCTTGACGCACGCGGGGCCAGTGGGCCGTGCAGTCGCCCGGGCTCGATCTGCCCGCGACCGGCGTGCGGGCGGCCCCCGCGCGCGGGCGCGGCCCGTCCACGCCTGGGGCGCAGATGCGGCGCGCGCGGGCCCGCGCGCCGCCCAGCGGGCCCGCGCGCCCGCGCCGGGGCTGCCCGAGCCAGCGCGCCTTGGCCCTGGCCCTGGCGCTGCTGCCCCCTCGCCGCGCGGCCGAGGACGGCTCCCTCCCGGCCCCGCCGTCCTCCTCCTCCTCCTCCTCCTCCTCCTCCTCCTCCTCCTCCTCCGTCCCCTCCTGCCTCTCCCTTTCCTCCTCCTCCTCCTCCTCCTTGTCGACGTTGCGCTGAATACAGGTCTGGGCCTGAAGCGCAAGGCCGACTTGGGCCATCAACAAGCAAATTAGGCCTGGCAGGCGCAGCAGAAAAAAAAGAGAGGCGCGAAAGGTGAAGCAAAAGATAGTAGGCCCTCAGGGCAAGAGTATCCGCCAGCCAGGCAGTGATGCAGGAGGGGGACCGGACCGATGCGAATGAGTGACAACATAATCACCTGAGACCGTACGAGAGGGCGCGAGCTACACGTGCACAGTACTAAGATGTTAGCCTAAGCTGGCCCGCCAGGTGATCTTGTCAGGTCCCTGTGGGCTCCGCCTCACGGGTGGCTAAGCCACTGATCCCCCTCTCCCCGATTTCATGATCCCTTACCCCGCCACCATTACAGTTAGTCAAGCCACGCGGTAAGACAAATGGGCAGGCGAAGTTGTTGTATGAATTGAGGCTGACACAGGCCGTGTTGGTTGGTCCAAAGCAGGATCGGTCTACCTGGCGATTGGAAGGGAGACTGAGAAGAGGGCGTGCAATGATCAGAGCGTGAAAAAAGTGATGCTGATTGGTACTAGGCTGTAACGAGTACCGTGCACAATATACAGCTGTGAGCCGAGCCCGAGAGGGCTGCGGAGCCATGCCTTGAAGTCCAGGGTGGCCTGAAAGATTGTTATAGACCTCATCCCTACAGAAACCATTCTATCCCTCCGGTCAAGCCCTCCGCCACGACGTTTAGTCAACGTTCGCAGAACAGAGCAACACACTATCAAGATCCAGGCGCCTTGTGTAGCATGCAGCAGATCGGCCGGCACAGACTGTGCTGGCTGGCCTGGGGCAGTGAAAGTACTACTGCAAACTGAAGCTGATATTCCAGACGCTTCGCGTATCCCCACCAGGTGCGACTCATTACTGCAGGTGCGTTGCCTGTTGTAGCTAATTCGCCTCGCCTGCTGGCCCAGACGACGCCTTCCGCTCCCTGTCCGCCGCCTGGGAGCCGCCGACCAACAAAAAATACCCCCACCAGGTTTCACCACTTGACGGCGGTGCCCCCCCACGCTTGCGGATCTCTTCGCTTCAGGGATCGGCATCGCAGTTGCGCCTTTGTCACAGCCGCAGGGCTCCACCTGGCACCTGGAGGTGGATTACTGAGGTCTGGGCGCCGTGTGGTTCAGCCTGCCACGCCTGTAGTTCTTGGTTTTCCTTAATGCAGAGCATTTTGTTCAGCGCATGTGCAACTACACGCTTGTTGTGCAAGTGTGCAATTAGCCTGTACCGCCGTCCCGGACACGCTTGTTGCCGCCAGACCGTAGTCGCGCGGCCGCCGACCAAAAAGTATCCCCACCAGCGGTAGGTTCTGAGTGCGGGCTCGGCCGCTGTGCTTTTAGGCTTGCGCGTTGCTAATGTGACAGGCCCGTGGCTCGGACCTCTCAGCTCGGCGACTGCGAATCCGCGTCCGCCCGCGACCTAAAAGTATCCCCACCAGCCCATCCAGAAACGATGTCCAGGCGAATTGAGGTGATCAGGGAAGTGCGGCAGCAAAGAGGAGGACGGCCGAACCGTGCAAAGGAACGAGGAGGAGAAGGAGGAGGTGGATGGATGGATGGATGGATGGATGATGGAGTGGGAAGAAGGAGGATTAACAGGATGAGGAGGAAACGGAGGAGGAGGAGGAGGAGGAGGAGGAGGAGGAGGAGGAGGAGGAAGAGAAGGAGTAGGAGCAGGAAGGCGGAACAGGAGGAGGAGGAGGAGGGCAAGCACAATGGCCAGAGGTCTCTTGGATGCCTCTCGGAACCTCTTGGGGTATCGCTTCTTGGGACGTATTGGGGGTCTCTTGGCGATCTTGGGGGGCTCTTCGGGGTCTTGGGTGCCTCGGGGGGGGGGCTTCTTGGGGCCGCTTAGGGTCTTCTTGTGGGCCTCTTGGGGGCCTCTTGGGGCCATCTTGGGACCTCTCGGGGGCCCTTCGGCGTTTCTTGGGGCCATCTTGGAGGAGATCGGTCAACGAAGGGAGGTTCCTCAATTACGCCTTCCCCCACCCAGGAGGCCAAAATGGTGCCAAAACCATGGTGCAATCCATGATTTAGGTTTCCTCGCCGAGTCCGTTTTGGACGCTCTAACTACCCGCGGCCCCCCCGTCCAGGTCCACGGGGAGGGGGTCGGGGGGGTCAAAACCCCTTCCCCGCCCGTAAGCCGTCTCGCTCACTCCCACCCGCCTTCCAACACATACGTAGCACCCGAGTCTGGCCCGAGCCTCAGCATATTCAGCAGTCGTCTTTGGATGGGCAGCTACTGGGGGCCAATCCGCCGCCGCCGCGTCCGCCGCGTCCGCCGCCGCCGCCGCCGCTGCCCGCCGCCGCCGCCGCCGTCGCCGCCGCCGCCGCCGCCCCCCGCTGCCAAACCGCCGCCGCAGCCGCAGCTGCTGCCGCCACCGCCGCCACCGCCGCCGCCGCCGCCGCAGCCGCCGCAGCCGCCGCCGCCGTCGCCGCCGCCGCCGCCGCCGCCGCAGCCGTCGCAGCCGCCGCCGCCGTAGCCGCAGCCGCCGCCGCCGCCGCCAAGTGTACTATGTTTTGTTTTTGTGACAGGGATGGTGGGGGGGCCGCATCGGGTTGGCTGCGCATGTTCCGAATTTGGAAGCACAGTGTGTTTCGTATTGTTTGTAACAAGGGATGGTGGGGGGGTGTTGTCATGGACTCGGGTTGGCCCCCAGTCGCCTGGGGGAGGGGGTGTGTATTAATACGGAACAGTGATAAACCCCTCCCCGAAGGGGAAGAGGGAGGGGTGGAAGAGGAAACGCCCTAAACCACCGACGCCCAGAGGGCTGGTGGGATTCATGTCACACCAGGCACGTGCGGCAGTTCTTGGGCTGTCGCCCATGGTTTTCCGGTGCACCCCGGACCTCCTCGGCCCCAGGACCTACGTGTTATTCGTAATCTTCTTCCGGGTGTAACACGAACTTTTGGTGACAAATATCGGGCAGAAAATGTTTTAGGCTTGCCATACCACATGGTTGGCCTGCGGTTTATGCTGGTACTGATGTTAGTCTTCAACCCCACCGTTGATCTTCTGACCCGCCCGTCCCTCCGAAGGTAGGCTGGTAGTGCACGCGGGTGAGATTGCAAACGGGGCCTTTGATGTATAAAGGCGTGCTGAAGATCCGCTACTGGTAGGCGTGAGGCAATGTAACTCCGTATGTTGAAAGAGTTGGTTGATAGTTGGCATGTCTGAAGTATGGGGGCTGACCTATAGCGAGAGAGTAGGCTGAGAGGTGGCAATAGGAAGAACAAGAGAAACCATGGACAGCCCTTCAGCAAGCAGCAACGACCCAGGATGAGGAGGAGGAGGAGGAGGAGGGAGCAGGTGCATCGCACCAGCGGAGCGGGAAAGGGTGGAGGAGAGAGCAGGGACGAACGACAGCAGGAGGGGCCAGTAAGGGACAAATGTTGCGTGTGAGCGAAAGGTAGATGTGCGAGTGGCTGGCACAGATGGTAAGGCACCATGCTACGGCACCAGGCTAAAGGCACCAGGGCAAAAGGCACCAGGCTAAAGCCGCCAGGCCAGGGCACCAGGCAAAAAACACCACATTAGCGGCACCAGGCTAACGGCACCAGAACAACGGCACCGTGCCAAGACATTTGGCTGAAGGCACCAGGCTGAATGCTCCAGATGTGCGGCGCCAGACCAACGTCTCCAGCTTTGACGTCTCCAGGCTGACCGCACGAGGCTAAGGCACCAGGCTAAGGTGCCAGGCTAAGGCACCAGGCTAAGCTTTCAGGCTAAGGCACCAAACTAAGGCACGAGGCTGAAGCACCAAACCAACGGCATCAGGCTAACAGCCTGGTGTTTTCGCCTGGTGCCGCTCTTCTGGCGCCGATCGCCTAGTGCTTTAGCCTGGCGCCGCTCCTCTGGCTCGTACTTTCCTTAGCCTGGTGCTTTTAGCCTGGTGCTGTTCTGCCGGGTACCTTAGCCTTGCGTCTGGCTTGGTGCCCAACCCTGGTATATTAGCCTGGTGCTTTAGACTGGCGCATTAGCTTGGTGCTTTAGCCTGGTGCGGTTAACCTGCTGCCTTTAGCCCGGTGCCTTAGACTCATGCGGTTAGCCTGGAGGCGTTAACATGGTGCCGTTGGTCTGGCGCCGTTAATATGGTGCATTCAGCTTGGTGCCCACTAGAAGCCAAGGCGCCAGGCTAAGGCACCAGGCTAAGGCACCGGGCAGAACAGCACCAGGCTAACAGCACCAGGCTAAGGCACCATGCTAAGGAAACTACGAGCCAGAGGAGCGGGGCCAGGCTACCTTAGCCTGGTCCCTTAGCCTGCTGCCTTAGCCCTGTGCCTTAGTCTTGTATAATAGCGTGGTGCTTTAGCCTGGTGCCGCGCTGACAGTTAAGAACTACTCTCTGCGCTGTTAGTTTTCGTCATGTGAGATGCGGCCCGCCTCGTAGACCGTCTCGTAGACGGCCTCTATGGTGCGGACCCAGAAATGGTCTTCTCTGTCCCATGTGTACCGGTCATTGGCTACGATATTGCGTGGATCACGTGATCGAGGCTCTTCTGGTGGCCGTCGTAGCACAGTTGGTTGCCCTCGTAGCTGAGGTGGCCCTCGGAGCTCTGCTGGTAGCCCTCGCATCTACGCTGGTGGCCCTCGTAATTCAGCCGGTGGCCGAGGTAGCTCTGGTTGTAGCCCTCGTAGTTCAGTTGTTGGTCCTCTTAGGTCAGCAGTTGGCTTGGGTAGTTCTGGTGGCACTAGTAGTTCAGTTGGTTGTCTTTGAAGCTCTGTTGGTGGCTCTCGATCGTAGCTCTGCGTGCCCAGCTGGCTCAGCTGGTGGTCCTAGAAGCTCCGCTCGGTGTCCGTGCAGCTCGGCTCGTGGTCCTCGTAGTTCTGCTCGTGGCCCCGGTGGCCCAGCTGGCTTCCTGAGGCATCTACTACGGGTATATCGGCGGACCTGGCCTCCTGGTGGTCCTTTCCATCTGCGCGGCAGCTTCCGCGTTGTCATTTCCAGGTCCGCGTGGTGGTAGTAACGTCGTCCCTGCTGGTCCAAGTAGCTGTTCCAGCCAGGTGGCAGGGGTGCTGGGGCTGGTGGCTCTCGTAGTTCGGCTGGTAGCCCTCGCCTCGTAGTCCAGCTGGCGGTCCTCGGTGCCTTGCCTGTGGTCCTCGAAGCCTTTTTTTTCTGTGGCTGTGATAGCTCAGCGCGTGGTCCCCGTAGATCAGCAGGTGGTCCTCGTAGCTCTGCCGGAGATTGTCCTTGCTCAGCAGGTGGCCCTTGCAGTTCAGCTCATCTCCCTGGTAGCCTTGCTGGAGGCTCTCGTGGCTCTGCTTGTGGCCCGCGTAGCTCAAGCTGTGGCCTTCGTAGCTCCGCCTGTGGCCCTCGTCAGCTGGTGGGTCTGGGAGTGCTGCTTCTGGTCCTTGCAGTTCAGTTTGTCGCCCTAGTCGCTCTGCAGGAGGCTCTGGTGCTCGCGTAGCTCAAGTTGTGGCTCTCGTAGGTCAGCAGGTGACCCTCGTAGGTTTCGTATCCGTGCTTGTGGTCCTCGTAGCTCAGCTCGCAGTCCTCGTGGCTTTGCTGCTGGCTCTGGTAGTTGTGCCCCTGGGCCTCGTAGCTGAGCTGGTGGTCCTCGAAGAACTGCTGGGGTCTCTGGTAGCTCTGCAGCTCTGCTGGTGGGTGTCGTATTTCTGCTATCGGATCGTAGCTCAGCTGGTGGGTCTTGTAGCTCTGCCTTTGGCTTTCGAAGCTCTTGTTGCCCTCGTAGTTCGGCTGGTTGTCCTCGGAGTTTATCTGGTGGTCGTCGGAGCTGCGCTGGTCCCCGCAGTGGAGCTCGGATTCCCTCCTCGTACTCGTGCGCGACTCGTGCACCTGGCCCAGAAAGTAGTCGAGGAGTATGTCCACCTGTACGTCCTTCTGGACGCCGGAGTCCATAGGGTCAAAGTCGGAGTCATCGGCTGCCAAGTCGTAGTATTCCACGTGCTGGGTGCCAGTCGTGGTATTCCTCGTGCTGCCATCCTCCGCCTCCTCCTGGTCGGCTTGCCGTCCTCGTATCTCGGCCGGTGGTCCTGGTAGACCTGCTTGTGGCCCTCGTAGCTCTGTGCGTGGTACTGGTCGCTCAGCCTGTAGTCCTCGTAACTCTGCGCGTGGCTCGCCGAGCTCAGGTGGTGGCCCGTGAAGCTGAGCTGGTGGCCCTCTAAGCTCTTCCTCTTGCCGTCGTAACTCCGTTGGTGGCCCTCGAAGTTCACCTGGTGGCCCTCGGAGTTCGGTCGAGTCCAGCCGTGGCGACGATGCGGGGATCCTTTGCGACATAGCCTGTAGGGCTAGCTGCGTGGTGCCGCCGCGTCGGGGGATATCCACCTTGATGTGTTGGGGGTCCAATGCCCGGGTCTACATCGGGTTGAGGCGCCCGCGGAGGCAGGGGAGGCGCAGGCCCTTGTACATCAAAGCGGGCGCCTTGCACAACAACGCGAGGTGGCCCCCATTGGCGGCAACGACAGCGAGGTGGACCTGCAGGCTTTCCCTCCAGGCTTCCGCCTGCGCACGGACGGCTGCTTCGAACTCTTGGGCGCGCCAGTCGGCAGCGACGCCTTCTGCCGCGAGCACACTCAGCAGCGAGTCGACAAGGCCACCGCGCTCCTCGAGGCACTCGGCGAACTCGAGAACGCTCAGGTTGCGCGCCACTTGCTGCGACACTGTGTTGGGTTCTGCAGACTCGGTTTCCCGGCGCGGGTTGTCCCGCCCACCGTGCAAACGGAAGCGCTTATTGCCCTCGACAACGCAGTGCGCGCCAGCCTCGAGCAACTGACCAACAGCTCCCCCACGGACGATTCTTGGACGCAGGCGCAGTTCGCCCTCAAGGCAGGCGGCCTGGGGCTGCGCTCAGCGGAGCGGCACGCGCCTGCTGCCTACCTGTCTTCCCGTGCGGCCTGCTCTGCGCTCTGCTGACAGCTCTGGGTGGGCTGCTCCGACGACGACACAGGCGCCGACGGCGCTCTGGGCGCGGCGGAGAGATCCTACAACACCCAGCTCCCGCAGGTTGACAGGATTGAGTTCGACGCCAGCCAGCACAGCGACCAGCGGGGCCTCTCTGACAAACTGGACAAAGCCGCCAAGGCCGAACTCTGGGAGCGCGCCAGCCTCGCCACCAGGGCCCACCACGCGCTGGTGAGTGCGGAGGGCGCCTGCGGCTGGCTGCAGGCACGGCCCTGGGCCGAGGTCGGCACGGCCTTCCCGCGTGGCTTGATGCAGGTAGGTCGCTCTGCAGAGGCGCTTGCGGGCGCAGCTGGCGAGCGAGGAGACCTTCTGCCCGGCCTGCGACGGCGTCATGGACGTCTACGGGGACCACGCGGTGGTGCGCCCCTGCCGCGGGGACCGCGTGAAGCCGCACGACACCCTCCGAGACGACACCTTGTTCTCCGCGCAGGCAGCGAGCTTCCCAGGCGCCGAGACCGAGCGGCCGGGCTTGCTGCGGCCCCGCGAGCGAGGGGAGGGCCCGCCCGGGACGGAGGCCAACGGCGGCGAGCTCGACGAGAGCGGCCGGCGCCCAGCGGATGTGCACACACCCCGTTGGCGCAACGGCGCCCCGGTCGCCCTCGACTTTGCGGTCACTTCCGGGTCGTGGGGCGACCTCCTTGCAGCCTCGGCCGCCGCGCCCGGCGCTGCCGCCGAGCACGACGAGGAGCACAAGCGCCAATGCCTCGACACGGCGCGCAGCTGCAGCGCGGCCGGCGTCACCTTTGCCCCCGTGGTGATGGAGGCGCACGGCGGCGCCCGGGGCAAGGCACGTCGCGCGTTAGCCGTCCTGGCGAAGCGCGCGGCTGATGCCACAGGGGAGGGCCCCGCCCTCGCGGCGGCGGAGCACGCCCAGCGACTCGCTTCTCCTGCTCAAGGAGAACGCGCGGGCCGTGCTCCGCAGGCTGCGGGCCCCGCGCACGGCGCCGGCAGCCCAGCCCGCCGCGGCGACGGCGGCGCGGGAGACGCTGCGTAGGCCGCGGGCCGACAGCCGCCGCCCCCGCCCCCCGCCCTCGGCCGACGCTGACCACCCCGCCGCCCCGGCGACCACCCCGCCACCCTAACCATGCCCTCCGCGCCGGGCCGCCAGCGACGCCCACCGCCCCCGCCCCCGGCCCCTGCGCTTGGCCGACGACGCCAAACCCGCCGCCTCCGACGACCACCCCGCCGCGCGACGTGCCCCCGTCCTCTAGACCTGGCCGACGACGACCACCCTGCCGCCGCCACCCACGCCGACGGCGACCCCGACCGCCGCCGATGCAGGCCCCCGCCCCCCGCCCCTCCAACGTGCGTCTGCCTGCTTGCTCGCTTGCTTGCTGCTTCCTCCCCTCCCTCTCTCTCTCTCTCTTTATGTTTCTCTTTCTCTTTCTCTTTCTCTTTCTTTTTTTGTTTCTCTCTCTCTCTCTCTCTCTTTCCCTGCCTGTTCGCTGTTTCTGCTCCTTGTCCCAGTCCCTCCTCGTCCTCCCCCCCTTCTCCCTCCAGCAGCTGCCGCCCGGTTTGGCCACGAAAGGGGCTGCGGCCGGCCCTGGGAGTGACCTCGGCTCCGCGCTCCGCGTGCCGAGCGAGGGCTCCCGTGGACCAGCGCGCGCTGGCGTCAGCACGCGTTTGCCGTCATACTCTTTAAGCCTGGGTCAGGGGCATTCGCTCGCAGGCTTTTACATTGCTCCAAATGCGGTCTTCGAGCCCGCCAAGACGGTTCCAGTTCGCTCCCTCGTAGCTCAGTTGGTGGATTTGGTAGCTGTGCCAGTGGTCCTGATGGTAGCTCCAGGCCTGCCTGTGGCCCTTGTCGCTCGGGCAGCGGCCGTCGCAGCCCCACTGGTGGCATCCGTAGCCCTGTCGCAAGCGGTCGTCGACCACGTACTGGTGGTCGTACTTTTGTCGTAGTTGTAATGATGCTGGTAGTCGCCGACGCCGTACATATTGTCCTGGTCGCACGGTTTGTTGCACTTGTGGTCGCGTCCGGGACTTCGACGACGATATATGTGTACTCCGCCTTGTCGTATTTGGTGTCGTGCATGCTGTATCCGGTGTTGCATTTGCTGCCGTACTCGTCGTCCCGTCGTCGCCTTCTCTGAAGAGCAGCGGTGGTAGCGATCATGGTGTCTTTGGGGTTTGGCGGACGTCCTTGTCTGACGTGGTATCCCATACGACTAAGAGCGGGTTCCGCTCAGATTCTCGAAACTGTTGCGAGGAAGTCTCTGAAATGGGGTCCTCGTAACTGAAATATTGGTCCATGCGTAGATATTGATGATCCGCCCGTAGGTCGTCCGCACGTAGATTTTGATGATCACACCGCAGATATGATGGCTATTGTCGCCCTCCGGCCGCGGGGTGGCCAGCGGGCTGAGGCCGTCCCTCCCGTTGCACGCGGGGGATACGAGTTTCCCGCAAATGGCCTCTTTCTCCCTCCTCCTCTTCTTCCTTTTCCTCCTGTTCCTCCTCCTCCTTCCCTGGCCCTGGCACATCTGCCTCCTCGCCGCGCGGCCGAGGAGGGTTCCATCCCGGCCCCGCCGTCTTTCCAGTTCAGCGACGACAGCGACGAGTCGTCGCAGGGTGCGCCGCTGCCAGGCGGGGAGCTCGCGGACCTACCCGCGGACGTCGCCAGCGGCAAGTCGGAGGGGAAGGTCGGGCAGGCCTAGGATCCAGACGCCCTCCAGCCACGAAGAAATCACGACGGAAGGCTTTTTGTTTTTTTTAGCCTCTGAGGGCCTTTGACGAGCCTCGGGGCCGCCCAAAAACCATTCAGGATAAAGAACTGGTCCCAGGGAATAGGTCGAGACCTTGGGGGATCGACGTTCTTAAAAAAATCACGTGACGTCGGGGGTCGTGGGAATGGGACAAGTCGCTCCAGAGCGTTCCAGAGCGCTCTCCGAGCCTCTCGGAACGCCCTGGAACGGCCGTGGCGCCCGAAACGTCCTCCAGAACCGCTGTGTCTCAGAGATCCTGGATGCATCCCTGTCCGATCTTGGCCCTGTCCTGGCTCCGTCTTGGCAGGTGCTGTCGGTGCCATGGCGCCCCGGGCCCGAAGAGTACGTCGTGCAGGGCGGGCCGGACGGCACCAGCACGCTGTCGCTCTACCCCGCAGAGGGCCCGGTGAACGTCAGCATCGGTGGACAGCTGGCCGACTCCCTGCGGCGGCAGGCCGGGGGCAGTTCTGGCGACGCCTGGACCGTCGTCGAGCTGTATGACCACGCTTGCCCAACTTGCTGGCACTGGAAGGACGAAAAGACGGCACGATCATGATCCATCTGAGCTCCGCGCGGATTTCTTGGATCGGCGCTGGGACCCCCTGGCGCCACCTCCAGCGCCGCCCCTGGCGCGCTCCGCGCGCCAGGGAGGGAGGTCCAGAGTTGATGCAAGAAATCCGCGTGGACCTCCGAGAGCTTACCATGTTTATCCAACTTGTTGTTCCTCTAGGTACGCCGTGCCCGCGGTCACCAGCGTAGCGAGTGCATTCCAGGGCGCCCCGAGCCTGAGAGTGGCGTCTGTGAATTGCCATGCCCAGGTCAACGCGGAGACGTGTCTATCTGATGGCCTTCGGCCCATCCCGCCGCCGTGTCTGGGCTGTGGGCCAGATGCCTCTTAGCCTCTCTTGGAATGCCTCTTTGTGGCATCTTGCAGGCCTCTTGGGGGCATCTTGCGGACTTGTTGGGAGGATTTTTGGAGGGCTTCATGGGGAACTCTTGGGAGCTTCTTGAGGCCTCTTGGGCGCTTCCTGGGGCACGGTGGCGGTCTCGGGGGCCATCTTGGCACATGAGGGCTCGCTGGGCCAGTTCGGGGTCCCCCTCTGGGGCCGAGAGCCTTGAAAACACAGTGCTGCTTAATTTGTGCTGGCCTCCGGACAAGTCGCGCGGGGAGCCCCGAGAGTCGCGCGACGAGCCCCAGGGACCCGGAAAGGGCATCCAGAAGACCAGAAAGCTGGACACGCACGACGTGGCCAGCTTGGGACGAGGGCCGGACACACACAGCCGCGCACCTCTCCAGCGCGTGGTCCTTGCACGGACAGGCACGCTGGCCCTCCGCACATGTGCGAGTCCGGCACGCGGCCTTTGGATGTTCCATGTGTGATCCGGATGGGAAAAAAAACACAGACACAATTATTCGTCGATCCCCAAGAAAATGTTGGAAAATACGTGAATTGGGGGGAGACGGAACCCAGGAAATATTGGAACATGTGGGGAATCTTGTCATTTGTGTCTATTTATTTGTGTGGCCCAGGCCCCTTCACGTGAATCCAGCCAGGTGTGCGTGCCCAGTTCCTTGGCGTTGCCAAGTAAGCTCGAAGACACCTGAGGACACTCCGCTCAGTGCCTACGGCATGGTGGCGGATACCTGGAGCTCCTCGCCGAGATCGAAGACTACCCGACGCTCCTTCTCTGCCGCGTGCCCGAGGCCGCGGGCGAGAGGGCCCCGAAGCTCCCGTCCGCCGCTCGGGATCTCAAGAAGCACCTTGACGGGGAGACGCTCGCGGCCTTCGAGAGCCTTTCGCAGTGCCTCGATGGCAAGTACGAGTCCGACGTCCAGGCGAGCGGCGCCGGGCGGGCGTACCTGTCGGCAAAAGACTTGGCCGTTTGGGTGTCCGCGAAGACAGGGCTCGAGCCTACAGACGCGAGCGTGCTAGATTCTGGAGCAGACCTCGCAAGAAAAGGGCGTCCAGTCGTGAGCGGCCCGCCGTTCGCGCCTGGCTGGCAGATCGACAGCCAAGAAGGGGAGCCCGGGACGCCGCGGTTCTCGCCGCAGCAGCGCTGGTACGACGCAATCACGGGCTTTGCGGAGGCCGTGTATTTCAGCGCCCACAGGCCTGGCAAGCTGGAGAAAGCGGTGGCGATGGCGAGGTTCTTGAGCAGTGCCCTCCCGACACAAAGTCTTGTGATTGAGGAGCCCGACCCGGTCGCTTTGGCTGCAGCCGGGCTAGGGAAGTTGGCGGACGCGCTGGAGCAGGTCGACACTTCGAAGGGCAGGCACGTGGTGCAGAAGCAGATCCACTCCGCTGTGTCGGCCTGGACCGACGAGCACGGGATTGGCGACCCTCGGGACGCCTTCGACGAGAAAACGGGCCATGAGATTGCAAGGTTCCACACCGCCAGCCTGGCCACAAGCGCCGCATGGGCCCTGTTCCACGTGACTGCCACGGCGGTGGCCGCGAGGGCCATGTCCGGCGAGACGCTGTTGATGGAAGATCCCGGGGGATCGGGCAGCGACGGCGACGTGGCGGGCGCAGTCGAGGGCGTCGTCGGTTTTGTTCGAGACTTCGTGGATGGCTTCCTCAGCTGCCGCCACTGCAAGGCCGAGTTCCTCAGGAGGCTCGACGCCTGTGCCTACGGAGTCTGCGATATCTCGGACGTCCGCCAGCTTCCGCTCTGGCTGTGGCGGGCGCACAACGCCGTCTCGCTCGAGCAGGCGGCTCGGGACGAGGCCGAGGTGGACCGCCGATGGCCCGGCTACCAGGACTGCCCCGCCTGCTGGCGCGAGGAGGTGGTCCTGGGCGGCCTCCGGACGAGTCGGAGGCTGGAGGAAGACCCGCCGCTGCTCACCGTCGAGGAGCTGGACAGCTCCTTCGACACCGGCCACGTCTTCTGGCACATGGTCGCCACGTACGTGGGCGTGAGGCGGGTGAACTTCGAGCTGGAGGACCTCCCGCCGGAGGAGCAGGAGAGAAGGGGTGGACCTAAACGGTGTTTTGGCGACTTCGTGGGCCGTTCTCGTTTAGATCTCGTTTTGCATTAGAGGCGGATTGGAGACAAAACGAGGGGCAACGAAAACATAACGAAAACGAAGAACACCGTTTGTGCTCAGCCCTGCAGGAGAGGGTGCAGGGCCTGCTCGACGGGGACAAGGCGAGCCCCCGAGCGCCGAGCGCCGCGCCGAGCCCGCGGCCGACCCCCGCCGCGGGCGAGCCCGCGGCGGCGGCCGAGGGCGCACCGGTCGAGGGCTGCAAAGACAGCCCCGGGTTCACCGACGAGCTCGCCGCGGACGCCGGGCTCCGAGAGGGCTCCGACTGGACGGGCTCCTGCGAGGATCTCACTAACTCAAAAACAGACGCCCAACCCCAAAAACGCGAGGGCCAGAACAGAACGCAGGCGCCTCGAGACTTCGGGGATGGAGATTTTGGGGGCCCAGGGTTTCACCAGGGTGACAACGACGAGCGCAAAACATACCCCGAAATCTTTGGCCGATCTTCGAATCCTCGGTGAAGCCGCGATTTTGGGGTCGGGGATGTGTTTTTTCTTGGTCAGGATCGGGCCGGACGAAACGGGGGGGAGTGGGAGAAAGGCGGGGTCACGAAAACTGCTGCATGCAGCGGGTTTCGGCCCCACCGAGGGGCCCATTCCACGAGACGTAGCCGCCTCCGGCGCCGGGAGGCGCGAAGAAAATCAGCTTCGTGAGCTGATTCTCAAACCCTTAAGTCGGGCCTGTCCCCCTACAGGGGGATTTTGGATGAAAAGTTAGACATATTTTGGAATGGCCCCAAAATGGTCAGCAAATGCTTCAAAAATTGCCCCCAGACTATTTTTTGATTATGTTTGAATATTCCCCCTGTAGGGACAGGCCCGACTTAATCAACCCCCCCCTCTGCTATCCCCCCCTTATCGCCCAGCCCGACAGGACTGGGCCCCGTTCGACTGCTCCAGGGCGGCGGAGGACTGGGGCTTCACGCCCGAGGGCGAGGAGGAGCTCCTGCGGCAGTGCCCGAGGTCGCCAGCGGCAGCGCCAGGGGGGGATGGGGCTGGGGGCGGCAAAGAGGGGGGTGATGACTATGGGGGGGGGGGGGGATATCACGGCGTGGGGCATGATGTTTTCCCAGATGTCGTGGCGCTTCTTCTTATTTCAATACGTCCCTGGCCCCCAACCTGGGCCGCGCACATGCCGCCGGCCATGATCTGCGCCCCCCCCCCTCTTTGACGCCCCCCTCTTTGCCGCCCCCGATGGGGCTCGGGGGAAGGCGCATCGACACCCCAAGCGCCCACTCATCGCCGATGGGCTTGGCATCGTTCGGACGTGTGCATATTTCCTTCGGCGAGGACCATCCAGGAGCATCCGTGATCATTCGGCGAGAAAACCACGCACGAAGCCGGACAAAAACACAGGGAATGGACGTCCGAGCGATGGCCAGCATCGCCCACTCCTCGCCGATGGGAGCCCGAGAGCCCACGCCGCCCGTGACCATGCGGATTCGCTATCGGGGGCCTGTCGCCGATGTATCGGCGAGGCATCGCCGCTTCAGGGTCGATGTTTCCCCCCCACCCTGAGCCGGTTCGCCCCTATAACGTTCCCCTTCAGGTCGTGCGGGTTGTGCAGGCAAGAGGCTGCGCACTCGAGGGTCCCGCTGGTGGGGGCCACCGCGCTGTCCGTCGTCGTCACGGCCGTCTTCTGCTACCTGGTTCGGTCCGCGCAGAGGTGCAGTCCGGGGCAGGTGGGCCAGTCTCGGACTCCCATCATACTGTCCTCGCCGCAGGGCGCCACCCCGACGGCTGCAGATGACGATGAGGAGGATCCTGCGCAGGAGTGACGCGATCTGCGTTGCCATCCGGTCTGAGGCCCGCGGGTGGTGATGGGCTCTCTGGGCCAGCTCAAGGAGCCCCCAGAGTGCTCCGCAGCGTCTCGGACGAGGAAGCGCGGATTTGCTCGCGCCCTGGAACAAAAATTCTGCGAGCGGCCCTGCCCTTGAGGGGCTGCCCTCCTCCTCTTCGTCCTCCTCCTCCTTCTCCTCCTCCCTCTCCTCCTCCTCCTCCTCCTCCTTCTCCTCCTCCTCCTCCTCCTTCTCCTCCTCGTCCTCCTCCTCCTCCTCCTCCTCCTCGCGTCCTCCTCCATCGTCCCAGAGAGCTCCCAGATTTCCAATAGTCAGCCTCCAGTGGGCCTCCGAAAAGGAGCCGGCGGGGGGGCCCACGGAGCCTCCCTGCGCGGCACCGTGGATACGCGGCGGGGGACGAGGCCGTGCCGCCGAAACGCTGCGAGCGCACAACCCCCCGTCGAGATAGCGAGAGAGAGAGAGAGAATCATGCCACCCAGCGCGCGCGTTCTGTGACGTGCTCCGCCGAGGCGTGCTCCACGCGCCTCACGCCCCTGGGCCCTCCCCCAGAAGTCGGCGGCGAGCGAGGGGGGGAAGTGAGAAGGGGCGGGCCTCCTCAGAAGGCGCGGCATTTTCCTGGCCTTCTCAGGAGTTTTCTGAGCCTTGCCCGAAGACGCGGAACATAGTTCAGAAGGCGCGAGGGTTTCTGAGAAGTCCCGCCGTGTTTGAAAAGATGTTCTCCTTCTCACTTCCCCCCTTCGCTCCCCGCCGAAGAAGGCTGGCGGGTATCTTGCCAGCCCTGTGGGGGCTTCTGCTGCCACGGCAGGGCTAATCTGGCCCGGGTAGGGTCCTTGCTAGCCGGCGCCCGTCCTGGGGCCATAGGCACGTCTTCGTCTTCCGCCGCCGTCGTCCCTTCGAGCAGGAAAGGGGGGGGGGGAGGTTGTACCACAGTGCCCTCCAAAGTTGCAGTTGGCATCACTTGAGAGCCTCACCTGTATTCTACAGAATTGGTAGTGTTTTTCGGTCATGCGGTTACGTTGCCACACCCATCGCCTGTTGCACCACGTAGCATACACCCCACGTATGTGTATGAGCCATTTCCCCACATAGGTTGCACCAAACTGCACACACAGCATGGACGGATTATCATAGTTTGCACCACGCAGCTATCAACATGCAGATTGTACTAAGTAGATTGCGCCACCTGGTTCGACGCAGTGTAGCTTATACAACAAATCTCGCACTACATTCGTGCAGCGCAGCTTCAATATATCGCGGTTTTGTCAGCATATCTTACATCACTGCTATGGTGACGTGCATTCATGTTTCACATGAGTTACACCACATAGCTTGCATCACGTAGCTTGCCCCACATCGCATACCCAACATCATCGGGTCACAGTTGTTCAAACAAGAAGATATTTAGGATCCATGGTGATTGGCCTAAGACAGCCCACGCAAGTTCAAGCAACCATCAGTCCTTGGCGAATGCTATGGCGCGGCCGACCCCTTTGGGTTCAACGCGGCCTCACAAAGTGGATTGGCCACAACAACAGCAGCAGCATCGTCGTGACCAACGCAATCAGCAGCTTAGGCCCACGCAATGGAAGCAGGGCAGCTACGAACAATGCGCGCCGCCGCTGCGGCCGCTGGCCTCTTGCGCAAAACTTGGGCACCAGGCAAGCGACTGAGGTCAACGCTCGGATTCGAGCGCGCCGTCAAGCGCAAATGTTGGTGCGATGTTTGGTGGGATCTACGTAAGAACGTCCGATCAGGCTTCCGGAGATATTCGAGCTGTGCGGGCGACATCGCATGCCGCGAAGTTCCCACGATCGTGGTTTTAAGTTCCTGTAAAATTGCGCATCTCTCATGGGAACACTCCGCACAAGGCCGCAGTGTCTCTGACAGAAGCTGCGGCGGTGCGGCGCGGTCGCTGAGGGTAGCCATCGGCCTCGATCGCAAACTTGGTCACTGTTGCCGGATCATGTGTGGGAGTAGACATTGCGTCGCCCACAGATCGCACATCAGCTCGCCGCGTTGCCCGCGAAAGTGCGGAGCGCCATCGCCAGGAGAATTTGACGATGCATCGGCGGGCGAGGTTCGATAGTTGAGTGCGCTCCTCGCTGGGCGCCCGCTCCATCTTGAGAGCGATGCGCAACGGGCCCTTAGCGAGACAATGCAACCGCGGGAAGGCGGCGCGGAGGGAGTCGCCATCTAAAGAAGTTGGCACATCGGAACAGATCATGCGCACCCGCTTCACGCCGCTCGTCCGGCCAACGGCTACGTGTAGAACTTGTTTTGCATGTCGAGGCCCAACATCAGCATGCGCGCCAGCCTGGCCGAGGCAGGAAGCCAACGCGCCGAACTTTGGTTCTGGCAGGGCTGGCATGTCCAAGCGGGTGTTCTTCCGTTTGCTCATAGTACCTTAATCAGATGAGATCTGGGTTTGGAACAGATATGTCGCGCACCCCACCGCAGCTGATCCCAGTAAGTGCACTCCTGGCAGCTTCCAGGGGCAAAAGACCATGTATTTGGACATCGTTCCGATACGTGTTGTTGAAATACGAAATTCCTCAAGTTCTGGCAGCATCTGATTTGGAGTTTGATAAAACACGCTCGGGGCGCAATCGCCGCAGCAGTGGAGGCACAGGCCCAAAAGTATAACATATGGACGAACATGGGGCCATCCCCCACATGACTGTTCCCGCTTCCCTTCCTTTCAACATTCTTGCCGTCGGGATTAAGATTAGGGGCAGGCCCCAGCAAGCCCAGGTCGGCCGAAGGTAAGAGTTAGGTAAAGCTAGGCCCAGGCGGAAGGCTTGAGAAAGGTAGGCTTAGGGTGGGCGGCCCAGGGACGGCTTAGAGTAGGCCCAGGCTGGCCTACGTTAAGCCAGGCTTAAGTAGGCCCAGAGGAAGCACAGGTTCGCTCAGGATATGATGCCTAAGATGAGTTTGAGTTAGACCTGCGTGAACTTAGCAGATGATCCGTAGGCAGGTGGGATGGAGGTCGCCTTTTTTGTAAAACAACGGGCCCCGGACGATGCCAAGTGTAGAAGATGCCCATCGATTTGTTACACGAGAATTTGAATACGATTTTTTGATGGGTTTCCATCGGGCTTCTTTCTGGTAGAATTTCAATGGGATTCCTTTTTGTCGAGAACTTGAATCGGATTGCTTTCGCCGATGATTTGGATTGGATTCCTTGTGTGGAAGGTTCTGATAAGACCCGCTTCTGTGCAGGATTTCGAACGGCTTTGGTTTGCAGAGGATTCCGCTAGGATTCCTGGTGTCGGAGTTTTGACTGGGACTCGTTTTAGGTGGCATGTGACTCGGGTCCCTTCTGTGGCGGGTGTCAATGGGATTCCTTATGTGGGGGCTTTCATAACGATTCCTTGCCGCGAGTATTTGAATCGGATTCTTTTTTTGGATATGCCGAACATGCAGATTTTGCGGAATGGTTACGCATCGACATCTGTTCGTGGATTCACTTGGAAGAGACCAGGCGGAAAAAAACAACAAACAGCAAGTGACAACTTTTGTGGTGTTCGCATCGCACGATAGTCTTTCAATCGCACTTCGTTGTCAGCCCCCGAAGCGCCAACATGCTGTGTTTTATGCTGTTGTCAGCGCCGCGTCGGCCCAACATCTGGAAGCGTCATGTTCTACAATGTCTTCGCCATTTGAATTCACTGCCGCCGAAGCTGTGTAAACCACGCCGTTTTTGCGGTTCTGATATTGGAGACGGTGTGTGTATTTGTGAGCTGAATTTGGTTTTGCAATGCGAGCACTAAAGGCACACCAAGTGCCGCCATATCCTTGCGGTTTGTTTGGGGGTTCTTTTTCCTCCTGGTGTCCTCCAAGTAAGTGATCCATAGACGAAACTGGATCTCAAACATTCCACATACTGAATGTGTGAAAAATCGCCCACGAAATGGGGCCATATTCGAATTCTACACAAAACGAATCCGATACGCATTCTCGGCGAAAGGAACCCGATCAAAGTGAACCGCGAGAGGGGTCCGATTGAAACCGTCCACGAAAGGAATCCGATTCACAGTTTCGAGAAACAGGAGTGCTATTCAAATTCCCAACGGAAGCAATCGCATTCACATTCTTTACAAAGGGATCCGTAACAAATCTTGCACAAACGGGGTCGTATAGAAAATTCCACCACATGTAATTCCGAGTCAGAGCTTCAACAAGCAAAATGAATATTATTCAGATATTCAAATATTCCACCAAAAGAATCCGTTTTATTCCTTTGAGGAAAAACATAGTGACATGCGTCAGGAAAATGGCTATGCTGCAACTCATTACAAAGGGAGTCGAAACCCAATCCATCACGGAAGAAACGAGGACGAGAAGGAGGAAAAGGACGGGGAGGTGGGAAGGAGAAGGAGGAAGAGACGGAGAAGCACGAGAAGGAGCGGGATAGGGAGACTGTATGGCTCTCGAGGTCCTTTTGACAAGGATGCGGCGATACAGCCTCTACAAGGGGGGAGTGCTCCAAGATCGTGGTTTAGGACCGTCACGGTGAATAGTCAAGCAGTAGCGAAGCGTCTTGGCTCGCATATAGGCCCACCAACTATTGTTCTAATTGCCGTTTGTGGTTTGCAAACAAGTGTCCGATCATTTCCGGTCGAGGCTGCTTTGTTATAACACATCGCCTTTATGGTATAACAAAAAGTTTTTGGTATTCGAAAGTTCTTGTTTCTTCGGGCATTCCGTTGTAAGCCTATAGAAATGTTGGGACGGCTGGGCCCTGCTCAAACTGGAGCATCACGCTCGTGTGTAGATGGTGGCCGTTGCAAGTTGGATTGCGTTTTCAGTGTTGAGCCAGTTCGTCCTCCGCACTTAGTCCAGCAGTCACGGATGGATGGTCGACTCGAGTTGTTTCTTTGAGGTGCGCGTGGGCAAGCCATGTCGCGCGACTCCCAGACAAGGTTCAGTACGACGGCAGCATCTCGAACTACGCACCACTGATAACATTGATTGCATTTTGCATGAGGCGCCACGGCAATTTCACCCTAAAATCGAACTTGGTCCCACAATGTCGCCAGTAACGTCTTGAGATCGACTCGTTTTAATTGCGCGAGCACTGATACCAGCGCGTGAGCCGAAAAACAGTGACGC